AATCACAATGTACTAGCTCAAATATTCGACTGGTTTTATTGGAACTCAAAGAAAACAAATTACGAGTTTGTTTAGCCCGATGACATATTTCGCAAGGAGCAGTAACAAACTTTATTGAATCACTCACCGAAGAAAGCCATTTCACAACTTGATCTGACGGATGTCCAAGTCGTTGATGCCATATATCCAAAGTAGATGACGTCCCATCCACCACCACCGTACATACCACCGATTTTTGTGTGAAGTAATACAGTCCATCCCTCCGTTCACCCGTGCCAATCAACTTCCTCGAGTGAAGGTCCTGTATAACACATATATTAGTTGTAAACCGAATAAAACACCGCAAATCATCATTAAGCTGTGATACCGAAATAAGATTATAGAAGAAAAGTAATGATACAATATAAATTGGTTAAATAGAAGAAAAGCTTACAAGAGTACAATGGGGAAGAAGTGAAAAATCGACAATCCCAGTACTCTTGAGTAACTAAACTGTTGCGCACAAGCCATTCCTGTGGAGGCGAGAAAGCTGGGGCGCTGAAACGGAGAAGAGAACTTGAAAGAGCCACATGTTTCAATCGAAGAGTGGAAATAAATGAAATGAAGAGATAAATGTTGAGGACTGCTGTAAAGTGTAAACTGATGAAGAGATAAATGTTGAGGACTGCTGTAAAGTGTAAACTGAACGACGCATGGAAAAAAACGCCCGTTAGTAACGGAAGTAAGGAGGTTAAGGATGCACAACAAAATAAACAGAGTACAATGACATTATGCATCAAGAGACACCAACATTTTTTTCATTACCATTTTACCCCTGACAATATTCCCTCTTATAATATTGTAGAGATATAAACTCCAATTTTAAAATATTATTATGTCCCAATAAGGCCCAAATAAAAATAATCAACACGATGATTAAATTAAGAGCTCGTTTGGTAGCATCAAAATCTACTGAAGTTCTAGCTGAAGTGGCCGCATTGGCTGATTCTGCTGATTTAAGAAAAAAATATTTTTAAAATATATTTTGTTAATAAAATAAAGAAAAAATACATGTAAAATAGCTAAAATAGTCATCTACAGTAACTTCAGCCAATACAGCCAGAAAAGTAACTTCAACATTACTTTTTCTGCTACTTGCACAATTCGGCACGTGAAAATAAAAGTTATGTGTTTGGTGAAAAAGCTGGCTGATAAGTTTGATAAGGTGAAAATTGAAAAACAGTGTTTCCAAACGACCTCTAATTCAGTCACTTAGACGCTAACCCAGAGTGTCTGCACGGTTTAATTGTTCGGATGTTAAACTTTAGGGAATTTTTCAAGCGTAAACTTAAAAGTGAAAATATTATCACTTTTGTCACTGCTTAAAGTTTGTTTCAATAATAGGCTACTCAAAGTTTTTCTTTCAAAAATGGAACGTCGTCCGTATGACCGTATGAAGCCCAGTGATTTGCCTTCTCGGCAGTCCACAAAAGTGTGACGTAACTTTTCAACTACAGCTTCCTTTTCCATACATATGCATTATTTATACCCGAAATACATGTTAAGAATCACTACCTTTTTTTTAATTTAGTTAGAAAAGTGTAAAATCCCTAAGAGATGACAAATCCTACAAAACAATACATTCTCAAGAATGAACGTCAATTTGACAAAAAATCAAAACTCAAATTTAAAAATAAAAAATAGAAAATTTGGAAACTAGTAAATTAAATTTACAAAATTAAAGAAAATGAATTTCAATTGCAAATAAATATAAGAAAAATATAAAATAATACGTATACAAGAAAACATATAGACCGGGAAACAAACATTTAAAAAGTTTAAAATAGTTAAATATGAGGGCAAAATTTTAATAATGTAAAATATATAGTTTTTGTAATGTATACTGTTAAAATAGTTCATATAATTTATATTAAATATAAAAAATTGAATGCATAAAATACTTACTAAATAGTGAAAAAATAAAAAACTTATAAAAATGAACAAAATATTTTAAAAAAGATAACAGATGCTTTCAATGTGTTAAATAGTATGAAAAGTAATTAGAAACTTCTGTGAAACAGTGATTATTTTGAAGAATTTGGAAAATATGCATACTACAATAAATATTCGTGTAAATATATAAAATTTGAATAACATTCAAATGACTTAAATTAAATTTTATATAATAAAAAATAGTAAAAAATATTTAATAGAATTATAAATAATGAGACCTTTTTTAAAAGACTATAAACGTTTTAAAAAATATTCTAGCGAATAAAAATAAATATATATATACAGATATATAATTTCAAAAAATAAACAAAATAAAATTATGAAGTAACGCAAAATAACAAAAAAAAAGTATATTTACTCCATATCAAAAAAATACAAACAAAAAAATCAAACAATTTAAAGTAATTTCTAAAAATAATCCATATAAAATCTCAAAAATATAAATTTAAAAAAAAAGATAAATCAAAGGCTTGAAATTTGTAAAACTTAAACAATATTGAAGAATATGAATTTTGTCATTTAAAAACATTCAAAAAGGCTACCGAATTAATATATAAGATTTTAAAACATTCAAAAACTGAAAGTCTAAAAATGTGAAAAAATAAAATAAATAAAACATAAAAAAAATACAAAATTTAAAACTTATAATTGTGATTATTGTATATAAATATATAAAAATAGGTATATGTTTGAGTTATTATTATCATCATTTAATTGTTACTTGTGCTGTACATTGTTTCTTTGTGTTTCTTTTTGTTGATAACTTTTTGTTTATTTTTGTTTCTTTATGTTTCTTGTTGTTTCATAAATCAAAATTTATTATTTAGGTGTTTGTATATATTTTTTGGAATAGAAGGTGATCGATTGATTTTTCAAGGAATCCTTTACAATCTAAGTTGAGATGAAATTCTAAATTTCAATGAAATTCAAATGAGAACAGCCCCATCCAGCCATCCTCCTCATAGTTCTTGTCTAGAGCAGCCAGATCCTCACATACCTCACTGAACTCCTCATCCTCCATACACTCAGCAACATACCAATGCACAAATGCACGCTTGGAATACATGAGGTCAAACTTGTGGTCAATGCGGGAGAACACTTGAACAAACTGGTGGAGTTGGACATACACACAGCCCTCTGCACCTTGGCCAGGTCACCTCCAGGAACAACAGTCGGTGGCTAGTAGTTAATACCACACTTGAATCCAGTAGGGCACTAGTCAACAAATTGAATGGTGTGTTTGGTCTTAATGGCGGCAACAACAGCATTCACATCCTTAGGAACAACATCACTACAAAACATTAAACAACAAGCCATGTACTTTCCATGGCCAGGATCACACTTAACCATCATGGATGATGGTTCAAAGGCACTGTTGGTTATCTCAGCAATAGATAGTTGCTCATGGCCGGTGGTATAGTAGGTCTTCTTAGCTGAGATCACACGGGCATAAGAAGAAAGCATGAAAAGGATACTCGATGTGGTACAATATTGGTCTGAAACTCATTCACATCAACATTCCAGGCTCCATCAAATCGTGGTGAGGCTGTGAGTGAGGAGATATCCTGTGAAATGAGAGAGTTCAAAATCGAAGTGGAGAGAGGTGTCTTTAGTGATAACAAAAATCAAATTAAACAATAATGAATAAGATGCAACAAAATGCAACAAAATACAACAAATTGCAACAAAAAGCAACACATTCATTGCAACAAAGAGCAACAACACAACAGTTTTTACATGCAAACAAATCAGATTGCATTAGGGTGGAATAAGGTGATCAACCATGGATCAATTCAAAAAATGTCATAGTAAGGTGTTGCATCTTTTACTTTTTGGAAAATGACGAGCACGTGGTCCTTTATCTCCCACTCGGGGTGTTCCTCATGAACATATTCAAAGAGTTCTTGGTCCGAGGAAAAGAGCAGCATTTGCCGGGCATCACCTACTGAAAGAGTGTTGTAAGCCTTTTCATTGCATCATGCTAGCTATCTCATCCCTGACAATCTTGGCCAGAAGATCTATGAAATAAGCATAGGTTTCATGAGACACTGCGTGCCTAACATTCAACACACGGTTGTAAGCTCCTTCCATGAAGGACTTTTCTAGCTCAACATCATGTATTATACAAGGATCCTCCATGGCATTAGGAGACAGAGGAAGATGCTTGTTGCTTGCATCTGTGTAAAAAGGAATAAGCTGAAAGGAATCTCTCTCAAAAGGCATCTTGATCCTCCATCATCACATTAGCAAGGAATATACGTAGTGTATATCATGCCCTATTTATCTATCATCTACTACATGTAACACATTAGCACCAGTGAACAACCATCATGACTCGGATGAGCCGTGTTTTCGAATTTTTCAATTCTCAAGCCAGCAATGGTTGAACTCAACTCATATGATAGTTCATAATTTTTTGAATATTCAGATATCTCTCTCACATGGATCACAATTTTTCATCAATTGAAAGAAATATCAACTCTGACGATTGAATTACCAAAACAGTGTACGACAATTATCGATGCGAACCTCGTTCTTTTACTAGAGGTGTGGCACTGTGTTCTCTCGCATCGAAATCTGGCAGGGGATTGTCGTGGGAAGGGCAGGAGTTGTAGGAGAAAGTTAAATCCGACAAAGTTGCGCCAGCAATCGGAAGCCAGAAATCGGAAAACCTAGTGACACCGTGGACGGCGGAGAGGTAGTAGACCACTCTTCGAAGCTCGGGAAGGGCCACCATCCTGTTGCTGTTGATCGGAAGCAAGTTCCGTCAGAGTCTTAGGCACCGATGTAATTCTGAGAAGAAGATATACTTGCAGAAGAGTAAGGGAGACGAGTTGCTGGGAGATGGAAGTCGTCATCCGACGATGGGATTGGTATTGTCAATCTATCTGAAGGAGGCACACAAATAGTCTAACCTTGAAATAAAAAAACATAATTGAAAACTGAAAAGATTAAAAATGAAAAGAAAAAGAAACAGGGACATAAATGATATGTGAAGCACAAAAGTGGATCATACGGGTAATTTCCACTAAACTTTAACACCCCAACAATTAAATTAATGTTTTAAGCAGAGTTTAAACTTTGACAAATAAACAAATTAAAGTCATGCAGGTTACATTGCGATATAAAAACAGTTTTTGAATACTTTATTTTAGAAGCTCTACTCAAACGCTAAGTAGCTGCTCCAGCGGTCGTTCTCCGCCTCCACCCCATTCTCCTTATCTATATTATGGGCTCCACTCTTGTGTTCACCACCAACATTGACGCCCCGTTGACGCGGAAGACGGCGAGGCTCCAAAGAGGTTTGCCATAAAGCTCATGTCCTTGTCGTGGGATTCAGCCAAAAGCGGTGGCCACTCACGGTGTTCGTTCTGCTCGCCGGCCGGGAACACCACCATGGCCGTAGACTGCTGAATGTTACCACCACGGGCGTCAATGTTGTTCTGTTGTGGCGGGGCAAGGCTGAGACCGCCGAAGTATTCATACTTAATATACTCCCTCCGTTCCCAAAAATACTTCCCACTTTCCTTTTTGGGCCGTTCCCAAAAATTCTTCTCACTTTCCCTTTTTGGACAATTTGTGTGGCTCACATTCATTTTACCTTTTTCTCACACAACCACACATTTCCACTTTATTCCACTTTCTTAATAGGCGTGCCAATTCAAACCGGGAAGAATTTTTAGGAACGGAGGGAGTAGTTCTCTAGAACCATAGGTCTCTTCTTAGTGAGTTCTTATTCCCGTTATCGGTTAGGCTGCCGCTCTCTTTGAGTTTTTTCTTGGTGAACTGCCGCCTCTTGGTTGTGTTCCAGTGGTTTTTGAGCAAGTTGTCCGACCGGCCAGGAATACACTTCGCGATCTCCGACCACCGGTTCCCAAGTAGCTCATGTAATGCCACCAATCTCCTCTCCTCTTCCTCCGTCAATGGGTTTTTCTGCAAATTATTGGTTATTAAAATGAATATAATTGAAAAAGGAAGAAAAATCTAGAACTGGAAAATAAGTGGAAAAGATGATTCAAAAATGAAATGGCCAAAGTGATCCTAGAGGTGAATGGGACAAAGGATCAAATAGGTGTCAGCCCGGTCAACGATGTGATAACCTAGTCAATGTTTAAATATTGAAAAAAAATGAAACATAAAATATGTATTACAAAGTATTATATACGAAGTATTCCATTAAAGTTTTAAAGTCAAGAATTACTCTCATTTAATATATTATAGTAGTAATGGCTATAAGAGTAAAATAAAATTATTGTACCAATTTATAAAGTTTCCTTAAATAACTCAAGATGTATGTGGAATTATATGGATAATATGTGATCATGATAATATTTATAAGAGAATTATCATTATGATTGATAGATGTAATGAATATTTCGTAAATATGTAATAGCTTATTAATATAAAGATAACATTATCAATAAAATCAGTTTTAATTTTGATTACTACTTAATAAATATTGATAGGGGTAATGCCTTAAATTGGAGTAAATAAAAGCAAAATTGCAAGAATAAGACTATAAGAATTAAATTCTCTAAATGGGAGTAACTCCTCGTATACTACCATTTTCAATTTTAATAAGTTCATCGTTTTCTTATTAATAATTAATCATAAAATAATTAAAAAAATTCATTTATTATAAAAAATTATTCCTCAAAATTTAAATAAATTAAATAAAAAATAGAAAATAAGAATTAAAAAAAATAAAGTAATAAATTAAATTCCTAAAAAACAAAAAAGTTTACACAAGTCCAAGTCCTCGTCTCTGCCACTTTCTAGCACCGTCGGCTTCGATCACTTGAAAAATGCCACCTTGAATAAAAGTACCATCTTAATTTATGAAAATTTCAGAGCATGTTGTGGCATTTTCAAACAACATGCATGTTTATAACGATTTCATTTTCACAGAAAAGTGATTTTTTACACAAAATGACAATTTCTTCCGACGGTCAGAGGTGGCGGTGGTTGGAGGTGGCATAGACAACAGAAGATCCCTCCATATTTTTATATTCTTATATATGTGCTTTACTTATTTGCTTTTAATTTTCACTCTTTTTTATTTTATTTTTAGTTTTTTTCTCTCGATTTTTTAATTTTATTACTCTGTAATACTTTTTTGTTTTTATTATAAATAAAAAATGATATTCTATTAGGGAATGATGGGGGTACAATAGCAAAAGAGAGTACAATTGACTCCTTTTTGAGAATATAAATATTATATTCCTATGTTTAATTTCCTTTATGAAATTATTTTACATCTAGTTGTAGCAATGTTCCCTCAATGATAATAGTGTTAGCCTAAAAAAGAAACTGGGGTATAGAATAAGTTCGGCCATAGAAAACTTTTACATGATGACCAAATAGTCGAGTTGGTGTCTTGGTGATGTGTATGCAAACCTATTTTTTTACCCCAAGGGGCGGCGGAGGAGAGGTTTGGGGGCCTGGAGTAAACTGGGATCAATCTCACTCCATTGAGATTTGAATCCGGGACCTCTCATAAGAGAGAGTTGGCGACCAGCTGGATTGTACCGCTTTCTCGTGTATGGAAACCTAAATATGCATCCATGGTTTGAATTTTTTTTAAATAGGGAGTTAAGTTAAATTATTGGTTTTGAAGGAACATGAGTCCAGACGTCCGGTCCTAGTTAGAGCAGACCGGCCACCGTTTTATAGCAAGTTTACACTACTTGGCAGGTTTGCACTCAACTAGTCCAATTCTAGGGCAGGTAACAGAGGGTTTAGCTTGACATGTGTGTTGCAATGTAAAAACATGATTAGTTTTTTCTATTTTTGCACAATAAAATTAAATATTTTGTATGATGATAAAAAGTCAAAGATTACAAAATAGTGAATTTAATTATATTAAATTTAAACATAACCAAAAAGTGTTATTTCAAAAAATGTAACAATGTGTTCGAAATTTTGCAACAAGATTAACATTAGTATGTATGAATTTGAAGTGCTTCATTTACAAGGAAAAAAATTGCAATTTAAAATTAAAGAGTTAATATTTAACACAAAATAAATATTTATTTTTACCTCTTTAATTTTTTTAATTAAATTTGAAATTTCAATTTACAATTTTATTTTTATTTATTTAAAGTCACTAAGGGTAAATTTACTCCTTTATAGGAACATTAAGGAAATTTGTGCACGGGTTTTTTACAACAATATTACTAAAATAAAACTTATTTACATAAATATGACTATTCATTACTACAACGTAGTGTTGTAGTAACTTAAGTTCGAAATTTAAACATGAATTACTATGCTTTCATTACTACTCTAGTAATTAATCATATTTTTGTAAACCATCTTTATTTTGGTTATATTAATGTAATTATTTCATAATATTTTTTAAATATTTTAAATTATACTAATATATCACGGGTTATCTCATTAGGCATATTTCATAATTATAATTATTATTTCTACTGATATTTTACTTTTCATTATAGCATTTCAAATTAAGGTACGAAATACTCCGTACTACGTATGCTTCATCCTCATAATTAATACGGAGTATGTAAGAAATATTTTTAAATTTAGCTTTAAAAATGTATTAAGTCAATTTAGGATGTTTTTACTTGGACTGTAATTTGCCCCAAACCAGACCAGACCAGACCAGACTTGGATAGTTATAAAAATACAAAGAAACCAGACCTTACCAGACCAGATCAGCAAACCAGACCAGACCAGACCAGTAAAAACATCCTTACTCCTCAAAGTAGACTAGGATGGTTTTGCACAATTTCCATTAAAAAAAACTTTTCTATGTGCAACAAAAGTTGTCGATTAGATTTAGATTTCAGTATCACATGAAAATTGATGGAGTGAAATCATCTTCTTCGGACATGATCCCAAAAAGATTTAGTGGGACTTGGATTTTACATAAAGTGCACCTGAATTGATTATTATTAATAATAAGGATGTTTTCTTTTGGACTGAAATTTGCTGGTCTGGTCTGGTCTGTTTAAGTCTGGTCTGGTCTGGTCTGAACTGTTCTGATCTGGTCTGGTAAACGTCTGGTCTCTGTGTATTTTATAACTACGGAAGTCTGGTCTGGTCTGTTTAAGTCTGGTCTGGTCTGTTTAAGTCTGGTCTGGTCTGGGACTGAAAACAGTCCAAAAGAAAACATCCTAATTGTGCTAAACAAAACAAGATACAAAAAATGGAATGGAGGTAGTAAAAGTCAAATAAGATATATAAAAATGAAACGAATGTTAGTAAAATTTAAATTTATGTGTTTAATTTTAGTCTTATCTAATTCAGTGAGAATTGATTTGTATGATTTGATATATACATTTTTATATGATTCATGTCTGAACTGGTCTGGTCTGATATATCTAATTTAGTTTGATGTGTTTTTGAAAGTCTTTTCTTTAATTTTCTTAATGTAGATTCAAACTAATCAAAGTAAAATACATGTTGATCACCATTTGAATATTTTATCCAGCCAATTTTTTTGCTACTCATTCAAACAAAAACATAACTCGACACCACCCATTCAAGATATTTATATTTACTATAAATATCTTATTCTTGAGAATATATATGATCACTGGTATAGCTAGAGAGGTGGGGGCATACAAAAGCCTAGTGTGGCGCCCAAAATTAAAAAAAAAAAATCGATCTTGTATTTTATGTGAAAAATATTGTGTAACAAAATTAATAGAATTGAGAAAGAATCTTTAAATCTCCCCCTTATTATATTTATCCGGTAGACATCAATATAATGCTTATGATGATTGGGCTATTATATTACGTACTATCTTATTATTCATTTGGAATTTTTTATTTTTCTTTCATCACAGTCCTTAAACCCCTTTATAATAACAAACAACTAAAAGGGAATATATTTTAACTTTTAAATTATTTGTTACTCCCTCCATCCCTAAATAAACTTCCATTTCACTTTTCGAGAGTCAACTTAAATCACACTTAAACTCTTACTTTATATATCAAAAATTTATAAAAATTGAATTATTTTTTGCAGGCTTTGTAGCGGGTTTAATGTAGTTTCTGAATATGTAAATTTTATTTACTAAAAATAATCCGAGTTTTCACAGAGATCATTTAACTTTATCGCTGGTCAAACTTCGTAACCCGTAATTGGAAGTTTTATTAGGGACGGAGGTAGTACTAAAATGGGAAGGGACTTGAATTTTCTAAAGGTGGAAACATGAATTTACCTATCTCAAAGATATATCTCCCGATGAAATGAAACCAAACAATGATCATCAAGACCTCAACATTATTGAAGTTTCATCAAAAAGTGAGATTAATATGAGAACCCCTCTTAGAGTGAGAATCCGTCTTAAAATGAAAATTTTTAAACATCATCATTCATGTATACAATCAACGATCAATATTAAAAAGGTGGCATCGTTGTAATTTTTATGATTAATTGCAACAACAAAAAATCTCATTTGAATTTAATGTCATCACGAATAGAACAAAGCGAAGACATATCTTAAAAACATAAAACATGAAGTGATCAGGACGGTAGCAATAATTAATGTGAAGACAAAAATGTGATAATAATAATAAAACCTGAATATCAGGACGAAGATGGTTATGCCACCTCTCTCTGCATTGTTTTCTTGCTCGACCAATCATTTTCGCTGCAATCACACTCCACTTCTTATCTCCGAACTCCCTTACCAATCTAACTAAAACCCTTCGTTGCATTTCATCACAAAACACAATTAAATTAAACCACATTCATTAATCTTGAAGAAATTATTAATTAACGATTAATTGGCATAAGTAAATTATAGGTATAGAAATTAAAAATTATATATATTATACGAGGTATATAACTAATTTAAATTCGAAAAATTTGAATTTTAAATTGGAACTTTCAGAAACAGCTGTTTGCGCTAGCATGCGTGTAATTACGTACCCCAATCACCAATTTTTTTAAAGAACCCAATACGTTTGTTGTAATGTTTATGATCGAAATCCTAAATATATAGATCGTTTGACATTTTAGAAAATTATATTCTAGTAAGGTCACATAGC